CCGCGCCAGGGGCCATCAGAGCCGCTCAGGGGAGAGGGGAGGGCGAAGCGGCGAGGGGCTTCGCTTGGCAACTTGGGGAGTGGAGCTCCTTGGAGACGTGATGCCACACCGGCCTTCCTGCAGGCCCTCCCCACACCTGCCGTTCACAAAGTATCACGGTGCGCCAACTGTCCTATAAAAACTCTTTCAGAAAAGGGGTCCCCACCCATGCCAGTCTCTCTGCTAAGCTGAGGAATCATTTCTCAGGGCCACTGTCAGTGAGCAGCACCGGCACCCCCAGCCTGTGAGGGTAGGAGGTGGCCCCGCGGGAGGCGACGGTAGCAGGGGCAGGGGGAGCGCGTCCTACAGGAAGTCCCACCCCTACAGGATGTCCCCTGCAGCGGAGGGCTCGGGGCTGTGGCTCTGCTCCTGCCACCGGCAGCGCAGCCTCGAGAAGGGCTGGTCCTCCACGCTCTCAAGCTCGGGGAAGCCCAGCTGGTTGAGGATCTCGTAGATGCCGGCCTTTGCTGCCACCTGGGGAGGACAGCAGAGATGGGGGCAGAGCTCCAGGGAAGGGGGGTAATCATTCAGGTCCCCCATCCCCCTCTGTCACACTGTCCTCCCCTCACTGGGCTCCACAGATACAGGCGAGTCTGGGGCCCAGCGCTGCCTCCCGCCAGCTCAGTGACCTGCACAAGTTTGTGTCTTGATTACTATTAACTGCTCTGTGCTTCCACTTCCTTATAATGGGACTGCACAGTGTGGAGGGCGACACTGCACAGAAAGCGCCCGGCAGGCAGTGAGCAAGCAGAGAGCAGCGCAGGAGGCCAAGCACGCCCCATGCCTGCGCAGCCCCGACGCTCCCATGGGGACCTCGGGAGCAGAGGCCAGCTGCTCCCGGTATTACAGCCGGGCCCTCAGGAAGCGCTGGGGAAGGCAGTGTGGATGCAGCAGCCAGCAAGAGCCCTTTGGCTGTGAGTTCCAGCTGTGGAGCAGGCTGCCCACCAAGGGCCTCAGCTCAGGCGGGTTAACTGGGGCCTCCCTGGACACTCTCCACACAGTCCTATGGCCCAGACCCTGGCACTAGACTCAAACCACTCAACGACCAGCCTCCGTCTCTCCCCACCGTCCCGGGGGATGGGGAGGATGCAGGCTCCACTCCAAACAGAGGGCCCCGGGGAACCCGCACCCCTGCCCTCTGTTCATCCCCTGAGGCTGGAACCCACGCTCGGGGCTGGACCAGCAGTTCTCGCCCTCCTTGATGTCCCCAAACACCCACCACCCAGGTTTAGCCGGCGAGCTCCCCAGCCCCTGGTTCCCCTGATTTCAGCTCTCCGAGCAGAACCCAAGCAGAAGTGCCCTAGGTCCCCCACCACCTTCACCTCCACCTCCAAGAGGAAGCTGAGCCCAAGGCCTGCTCAAGAGGGTAGCCCCAAGGTGGCCTTGGTGTGACCCACGCCCTATCAGGACCACCCAGAAGGCTCACCTTCAGCAGAAACGCCCGGCAGCCACCACTCCCGCCACCAGGCCCTGTGGTGGCCTCCCTGCTTCTGTTCCCTCACAGCTCTGACCCCACGTGCACACAGACCTAAGCCCCCCTACCCTTCCTATACCCATCACAGCCTCCCATCCTCCTGCACACCTGCCCCACGGGAGCTAATTCCAGCCCTGAGTCCAGATTAGAACTGCCAGGACAGTCTGGTGAGGTCAGTAGGGGCCAGTGTCCCGGCGGAGGGGTAATTACAGGCCCCTCTGCCAAGGAGGGAAGGAGGCCTTTCTCCTGCCCTAGAGGTGCCGAGGCAGCGGCTCTTCCTCTAAAAGCAGCCGAGCTGGGGGAAGAATCAGGAAGAGGCAAGCAGAGAGGGAGGGTGGAGGCGGCATGAGAGGGCAGCATCGTAGGCCAGACATGGCGGGCTTTGGAGCCAAACAACCTGCTCTAACGCTGACCGTGAACACGGTACCTAACCTCTCTGCACTCAGTCTCCTCCTCTGTAGAATGGGAGCATACAGTCGCCACGTAAGGCAGACCCGCTCACACGAGCTCTGGCAGATGGCACTGTATGCATCTCATGGAATCCCCACCACAGCCTCCTGAGGTAGTGCTGACGTTGTACAGCAGCTCAGAGGGGCTAACGAACTTGTCCGAGGTCGCGGTTGCAAGGCAGCAGGGGCCAAGCCACAGCGGGAAGCCAGAAGGGCACAGGGGAGGGATGAACACAACAGTGAGCGTGAAGCACCCAGGTGACGCTGGCCTGGGGGACGCAGGCAGGGAGCAGGGGCCCAGCCCAGCACCCGCCCTGCTGTGTCCCCAGGCGCCTCGTCTCCTCCCTCCCCCGCCTCACCCATCCACTCACTGCCTGCTGAGCCCGGAGGCCGTGCTGGGGACCCAGAGCTGAACGGGACACAATCTCAGCCACAGGGAAGCGTCCTGTACAGTGAGATGAGAACTCTGCCCGCTCAACAGGGAGCCTGTCCCTGGGCCCGGGGAAGACGCACAGGGCAGTCCCGGCCCCCACCCCCACCCTCACCTCCCGCATCCAGGCGCTGAAGGGCCTCTGCCAGGAGCCGGCCTTCTCCAGGTGGAGGTACGCGTTGAAGAGCACCAGGCAGACGTAGCGTTCCAGGTACTGCAGGCTCCGCAGCTGCAGCCTCCGGGCCTCCCGCTCTGACTTGGCCGCTTTCGCCTAGAGGACAGACGGCACAGGGCGGGAGTCAGAGTGGGTGCTCATGCCCAGCCGGGGACACTCCACACACCACACACTCCACACACGCTCTACACACGTACACACACCCGACACACACTCACAGGCTCTCACAATCGTAGACACCACACACACACACTCACACACATAAACACACACACACACCTCACTCACACACCACATGCCCTCGGTCACACACACCCTACACACAACACAGTCGCAGGCACACACACGCACCTCATACACACACTCACACACAAACCATACACACACACACACACACACACACACACACACACACATACTCACACACATACAGACAGTCTCACACAACATACACACTCTCCAAGGCTGGGGACAGACACAGAAAGACCACAGAAGCAGGGTCAGCAACAGGGGCGGGAGCTCAGGGAGGGACCGGCTGGGATGGAGGGTGGGGCATCGGTCTTCTGAACGGCAATACTGAGCACCTTCTAGGAGAACAGGCCACGCTAGTGAGGGAAGGGACAGCCAAGTGACTAAAGGTAGCTTCCCAGAGAGCACAGGATGCAGCTGGGCCTTGAGGGCCTGCGTGGACTCGGATGAAGACAGTGAACACCAGACAGGGCGGCCAGAGGTGAGGATGGTGCCCAGCAGGTGGGGGGACCGGGAAGGGGCTGGCCTGGCTGGAACAAAGGTGCAAAGGGACAAGACGGGAACTGGGTTGGCCCCCAACTGTGGAAGCCACCCTGGCGCCGAGAAGTCTACCCTCTAAGCCAGCTTCCCAACCCTGGCGTGCAGATGCCTGGGCCCCATCCCGGACCAATCAGACAAGAACCTCCGGGCGGTGGGCCTGGGCACAGGGACTGTGAAAAGTCCCTGGGGCCATTCTAGGGAGCCAGGGTTGAGCTCCGTGGCTTTAGCGCCGGGGAGCCACTGAAGCTTTGAGAATAGGAGTGACCTGTTAACGGAAGACTCGCGGGAGACTAATGCTCAGAAGGAAGAGGCCTTACATGGGGTCCCCTCCAGGTCCTCCTCCGTGTTGGGCCCGGTGGGAAGGCGGGGGGACAAGGCCCAGGACACACAGAGCCAGCTCTCCCCCTGCCGGGTGTCTGCCACCATATCTGAGGGTGCTCCTCCAACCCACCGCAGATGGACCGTCACCCTAGGGGGGAGCCCGGGGGACTGAATGCCACACCTCGCCTTGCACTTGCACCCTCCCCCTGCTCGCCTACACCCGCCCCCGCCCCCGCCCTGGCCTCCATCCAGGGCCCACGGCAGCTCTCTCTGCTCCAAGAAGAGGATGTGGCATAGCGGCCGTACCTTCAGGCAGCGGGAACACCCAGGGGAGGGCACAGCCAGCCCTCGGGCCTCCGGGAACCAGGAAGGGCAGTCTCCCAACAACTGGGCCACAGCTGGAAGCCCTCCCACGCAGGCACACGTCAGCCTACACGAGTCTCCTCCGGGCCGCTTCAGGAAGGCTCCTGGGTGGGCCCCCCGCCCCAGACACAACACGACCCACAGCCCTAAGAACCACGAGCTGGAGTGGGCTTGCTTGTGGGACCTGGAGTCCCGCACCTCCCACTTCTGCCTCGGGTGACTCAGCCTCTGGTGCCTCTGCCGTCTTTGCCCCCAGGGTCATGGGAGTGGGTGGTTGGCCCACCACACCGTCCAGAAGGAGCTCTGGAACCTTGGGGGCAGCGAACAGGGCCGAGCTGGGGCAAGGGGACCACAGCCAGCGCCCTGACTCCCTGGGAGACACGACTGGGCTCTGGTCCCAGCTCTGCCATTTAAACTCTCAGCCCCATGTTGCTGGAGGTCACGTTGCTCAGTAAAGTATGGCATGAGGAAGCACCTATAAACCCTGGGGGGCCACACGGGTCCAGCCATTCACAGAACGGGGGCCACAGCCATGGCACAAAGGTGGGGCACACACAGGCCCTGCCCGCAGAGACACTCGTGGTCTGGGGGAGACAGGGGACAACTGCCAAACACCCAGAGCAACCGGACCACGGGATCAAGGCAAGGCAGGTAGTGGAAGAGGGAGGGCCTCCAAGACGAGGAGGATTTGAGGTGCCCTGAGAGGGGGAGGAAGGGTCAAAGAGTGAGGTGGGTTCAAGGGAGGCAGAGGGGGAGGGGCTTGTAGCAGCAGGAGGCCCAGAGCCAGGCAAGCCCTGACCCTACAGACAAAGGGGCCAGTGAGGGCTTCTGGATGTGAGGGTAGGAATGGCCCCAAGGCCACCGGTGCGGGAAGTTGACTGGGGCCGGTAGGAGCAGGAGGCCTACTGTTTTAAGGATGGCTCAACCAACCAAGTGCTCAAAGAAAAGCAGTTTTGCTTAGAAATTAGGCAGTGGACCAAAAAAAAAAAAAAAAAAAAAAA